GGGGGTTAAAAGTAAATTTTTTACCCAATATGAAATGCCAATTAAAAACTAAATACCCATCCCTGGCCAAAAGGTTAACAAAAGGATACCATTCAGTTGTCACACATGTCCTTTACCACTTTCGTGACACGAGTTTAGTCTGTAGTCTACTTGTACTTTCTTTGGAGACACCATTTGCCTCCTGACAAATCAGAAAATGATCAAGATAGTGACTTTGAATGATTTACATATTGTATTGACATATGATTGTTGAAATTGCTTTGTAGTCTTCAATATTTGAGTGAGTCATGCATTGGATAATATTTTTTTTATTACCCAACCCTGGAGTTGTTTTGTTCTTTATTTTCCCAACCTTTTACTTACTTCCTCAATTTATTTTACCCAAACCTTTTTTCTTCGGTGCCCCCCCCCCTCGGTGCCTCCCCGCCATAATTAGAGACCTTACGATTTTAGGACGGCAACGCGACGGCCAAAACAAACTCCTTCAAATAAGTGGTAGTAAAGATAGTTCGTCGTATACTATCAATCGTATGAATTTAATACAGTCTTAGAAGTTGAAGACATGGGTTTTATGGTTGGGAAGAGTTCTGCTAAACCCACTTTGAAGTTGCACTTGTTGTGGCTTGGAATGTAGCCGTTGTATCAAGACGTGGAAATCTGTGATTTGGCGTTGTAAACAGAGCGAGGACAATGTCTAAATTATTCATATATTGTAATTACTCAATTCTTTTCAATGATCTATTGTATTGGTAGCCGTTGCCGTCGCGTTGCCGTTCTAAAATCGTAAGGTCTCTAATGATGACCGCAGACCCCCTTGCTTGAGCCACCACCACCCCCGCCCTCTCCTAGAATAACAATTTGCTTCCAACGGTACTGTTTCTATGACATTTGCCAATATTTTTTTTCTTCTCGTATAATCTCTTCCCGGCACATACATGTTTGGCGTTTTTTTAACTTTGTATCGAGATCTTTAAAAAAATATTCAGACGCCCCCATAAGTGAGCTTGACCAACGGACGTGCCGTAAGAATTCCATATACGGACCTGTGATGCTGTCCCCACGGGAAATATGAACGGCACTTATAGGCGTGAATTCATTGGCTCTGGAGTATATGCACCGGGATAGTGATGTCATATTTGTTGAAGATCATCACAAACTGACATAAACACAGGTTTTAATCTAATCCCCCATCGGCAATGGGGAACTATATAGGCTCCTTGGCAAGGGAAAACGTGTCCATTTTTTTCCATACGCACGAACAAATAAAGGCCCTGTCACACTATTGCGTATGAGAGAAACGTATGAGAAGCGTATGAAAATTAATGAAATAATTCTCATACGCACAAAAATCCTTTGAAATGCCAGCGTATGAGTACCGTACATCTGGCGTACCTCTAGGGTATTCAGCGTGTGCCTAGAGTATGCTTATCGTATAAAGCATACGTCCGAATACGCACAAAATTTTTGAGCATGCTTAAAAAAAATGTTCTGCCTCGCCGTGTGCCAGCGTATGCCACCGTATGCGACCGTGCTTGAAACGTATACAACCTATGCGTAACGTACCCCTAGCGTATGTCCGCGTATACCGGCGTATGAGTGATATTTTTCATACGCTGGCATACGCTAGTACGATACGCAATAGTGTGACAGGGCCTTAAAATTTGTCAGGGAAAAATTGCCCGCCGGCACGGGGCTTTAAAATGTCCCCTGTCATTGTGCGTGACTGGCAACTCTCATCAAAATTTCATCCATTTAGTCTCAACTGCGTTTCATTCCATGTTGAATCCATATTTTGCTCTATTTCACTATCGCCTTCCGGCCGTAATCTTTACAGCTGGTCACGATGCACGGAGGAGATTAAAAATTCAGATCCTTTGACTTTAACGATGTGTTTGAAGAGATAAGCCTCCCGCGAGCAAAACAAAACAAAACGAACTATACCACTTGAAATAATAAGATTTAATGAACGGCCTTGCTTGACTCGTACACACAACAGCCGTGACGTTATTAACAATGATTTCGTACGTGGCAAATGAATCAACAATGCAATTAGGGCAAGGGCGCGGAGTTTTTGAAACCATGGCATTTTCTGCATTATGAGAAGGGGCCGAAGGGTTTGACTTGAAGGAATCGTATACAACAACTGTTTCAAACCACATACTGGGAAATTATACCGAATATTTGCCGTATAATCAACCTTATCTTTGGAGGGACTTAATCCCCCTTTTCCAGGGACGTAGCGACCAGACCGGGGGGGGGGGGGTTGTAAACCCTGTGAAATTCAAGTTTAAATTTTGACATTTTTAGGTATAAAAATGTGCGTAATAAAGTCGTTATTTTTGTGAAATGATAACCATTTTTGTAAAATACAGTCAATTTACATCCGGCAATTCGTTTGCGAATTGGCATGTTACGAAAGCAGACTTATAGGTCTACAGGGAATATTATCTATTTTGTCGATGCTATTGTGATGAAGTATCACAAATTATACAGAGTGCATTGCGATAAAAATTGATACGATAACAGATTATCCAGATGCTATATGTTTTTCAAGCTAACTTCTAGGGAGATTTAAGGTGAAAACCCCCTCCTCCCCAATTGGATATATTTGGGGGTTGTCGCATATTAAATTAAATGTCCCAATTTTTGAAACCGTCATAAAGTGGTATTGTTTTGGGATGCACTGCAGATTGGCAGTTCCGTGCGCAATTTGAACAAAAATGATATCGTGTTAGATTTAAGAGATTTTCAAAGTAATGGCAAAAATTAGGTCTTTTAGTGATATCCAATTAAAGGCTATGTCCTATGGGGGTAACCTCCAAAAATCGCATCCAATGTGGTTCCAAAACTTGTTATGAAGGGATCCCTCAATAGGGGCGGGGTGTTATATTCAATGGAGTGGCCCATTGCGAAAGCCAGAATTGGGCGAGTCGCGATGCGTGATCTTTGCAAATTATCGCAAATTATAAGGCATCCGGTGCTAAAATTTTATGATAATATGTACTGCAGGTGCTATTCGTGTCACCGAATCAACTTGAGATAAATTTTGAATTCTGCTCAAAAAATTGCTCTGTACATTTCCCAAACGATCCTAAAAGTCTAACACTGCGTTAGTCTTTATTCTTGATCGAGAGTAACTTCGACTTTTGTTCTGAAAATCCATAACCTTTGGCGCTGAAATTGTCTACCTGTTGACATATGATCATATTTGCGTACATGTGCTAATATTATTATAAAGTGTGGAACAGCGCTTGCCTTGAATGCAGTCGAACGTGTGCGATTTTGGTGAAACATTGTGAGACCCATTTGCACGATACGATTGATCGTATTTGTTTCTTATCCTGACGTATGTACTCGAATAAATGCGCGTACAGATGTCACATTTCAAATTTCGTCATAAACTAATGAACAGGAATAATGGCGTCAGCAGTCGTTATTGTGAAGATAATGGCGTCAGCAGTCATGTCGCCTTGTAAATGGGCCTTTTAGTGCATTCACTTTCTGTGACGAACGACACAATTGTCTCGTTAAAAACTTAAAATTTCGTCCCATTCACAAGAGGGCATACAGTTTGACTTATCAGGTTCCCAGGCGTCCTCCTGTAGTAACACTGGATCACCAAAGAATGACCCTTACCGGACAGAACGGTTTGGAACCGGTAAAGTTATCCAGTATAATAAACTTCATTTAGTATGCGCACGGTCGTTGCCCTGGTAACCCGTCGGGCAGGTGCTGAATCAAAATATAACTCGTTAGTCTAAACCGCCTGCGAGATACGACCTGCCGTATTTTCGCCTATATTATTATCATGAATTTGTTCCTTAACTTAAACGACGCGCGTAACGGGTTAAATTTACACTAATTGTCCGAAATTATAATTCTTGTTGGCGAAAAAAGTTACTTGCGCAACAGCAGGTGCCGTAGTTGTTGAAACAACTGCTCTCAGAGCTCCGTCTGTCCCATACATTGAGAATATACTTGGCATAAGTTTTTAAAATTGAGCAATATTTATGAATATTTCAAAATTGAGTCAGACACTCCCATGAACGTGGCGTGTTTCAATTAAGTACAACAGAGCTTCGATGCTTCGAGCAAAAGCCGGGAAGTAACTATATCTGAAAATACAAGGAAGCCTTCGACGTTTCATTCAAGCGGAGGCCCTAATTGTAGTTGCATTCATCTGAATTTTTGACACTACCTTATTACACTGGCTGACTGGCACAGACCTTCAATTGAATATCCCTAGAGAGCGCTACTTTAAGGACTCGAGACATGTAGGCTGTTTTCTACCATAGAAGTTTTTTTATGACCACGGTGGCATGATCATATTTTGACTCGGCAATATTGTGTTCGCGAGTTAGAACGCATGACAAAAAGATGAATGCTTAACAAAAATACAACTGTATTTAATTTGAACTACAAATATGAAATATATATACAACTGAAGAATATATATACAACAGGTTTCAAAATCGAGCTAGATACTGCCTGACATCTCCTAGGTCCGTGTTCAGTATTCCTAGGGCGACGCGAGCCTCTAGACTGGACCGCGTATGATTGTCACAAAATATAGTGTTCCTCGCCGAGAATTGCTTACATGAGCGTGCGCTGCCGTATTTACTAAAAGGTAGGGTGTAGCTCCTTGCCACGGGGATTTTAGTGTTCGTAATGTCTTTCCCACGACGTGGTTTTGCGTTACATATGGACACGAGAAGACCGGGAAATCTAAACGAGAACGGTGAGTTTGGGCGACTTTGGGTCAGACATCGCGAAGATGAAGATATATCTAGCGCGTTCAATAACAGCGACAGCTGTTCGTCTTTCAGTGTCGGTGCTGTGGACATGCTCAGAGGCGACACCGGACTTAGTGGATTCGATGTCCTTTTTCCAAGTAAACTCTTCCGTGAGCGTGGATTCAACACCAGAAATTGGCCGACGGATGCCAGAATCTTCGTAAAACAACCATCCCTCTCCTCGCGATCGATGAAACAAATAAATATTGTCCTCAGTCCGGCTTCGAGTTGTATGACAAACGGTTTAAGTGACGCGGTGATCTCGTTAAGAGAGCATCGTATTAATGTTTCTTTGTACAACACTGCCTCGTGGTTAAACGATTCGTAATCGGCAGCGTAGGAGTATATATCGAATCCATTTTCGTGTAGGACGACGGACACTGATTTCGGCGCTAATTCGTGGACATTTTTCGAATCTTTCAAAAGGTACGCTTCGCCGGGTAATTTTTGGCTAGCTTTGACTGTTCCTTTGTCGTGAAGGGTCATTCTCTATTCTCGGACCGCTACGGTCTGCGTTCGTGTGCTATCCCTGGTCTGTGTATATCGAGTACTTCCGATGCACTGACGGGCCCCTTTTATCTGTGAGGCTCTCGACGATAAGACGCCGCTTGTTATGACGTCACGGCAAGCAGACGGTCAGCGTGACGTCAGCATTGTTGAGAATTTTTGACAAACAGTCGTTAGTGGATTTCAATATTAGGCTTGACTCTTGTGACATGTGCCCGTATTTTGGACTCAAAATATTTCAACTGACAGAAAGTGCTTTTTTCCCAAATATCATGCCCCGAACACGTGTGCGCGCATGGGTTTGATTTTAGCAGACATGTAAAGAGCCGTATCATTTCATTGCGTAACACTAGAAACCTTGCATGGCGAAGCTAGATGCAAATCGAAGCAAAATCAAGCAGATTTTTGCAGCTTAAACCCTTAAACAAAAGCCGCTAGGCAGATTGTCGTTGTAAATCGCGGTTAAACGTGGATTGTTATCGTCGCACACGTGTGCGTGCACTAGAATTTACTCAGCTGAAAACTTGAATACATAGCGCTTTCTAGTAACATCCGCTACACGTTTTTAATATGAAATATAACTGATTAAAGCACGCGAGGTTTGCCTTCATTTGAGATGCTATAATTTATAAAAATTATCAGTTGACAAAATAAGCTGTCGTGGTTTGTGTCTGAGCAGTTTAAAGATTGCCCTGGTCTTAAACATGGCTTTTGACTTCTGTACCATACTACTAATTTAATATGAAATATAACTTAAAGCACGCGAGGTTTGCCTTCATTTCAGTGAAATGTTATAAAAATTATCAGTTGTTTGCAAAATAAGCTGTCGTGGTTTGTGTCTGTGCAGTTTAAAGATTGCCCTGGTCTTAAACATGGCTTTTGACTTTTGTACCTTACTACTAATAGACACTGGACGCCGAATTTGAATTTCTGGGGTATTACCACAGAATAAAAATGGTATAACACCGGATTTGGCTAAGAAGTAAATATGTAATCAATGCTACGCCTAATGTTTTAGTTCAAAATCTACCAAATAAAGAAGTATTTTAAAAACTATATCTATCGCTTGAAAAGTGTTTGCGAATTCCGAGAATCGCCGAAAAATTCATGTCATGAACCTTATCGTAATTTGATTAATCCTTCTTGTGAGATATTTTGTGACTTTCACTGAGCGGCTTTACGAACGTGCAGTATTAAATGACAATGTTGATTGTTGGGAATGACGGGGCAAAACAACTTTAATGAAATTCATCGCAAATAAAAAAACATGTAATAATTACTTGTTATCAGTAACGTGGTTTCCATGGAAAACTAAATTAAATTTTTATACAATAACAAGTCTCGATAAAAAAATTGGAGTAATTTGCATTTCATGATGATAACGTTTTGACTATTAGGAGAAAAACAAAACAAACGCTGTTATTGAATTTGGACTCTAGTTTGAGACGAGTTGTTATACATTTTCTCTCCGTGCAGAAAGTTCTGTTGATTTTTTATACTGTCCATATTTTAGCAGCTTTATGCTGTCGTGCGACGATTATTTAAACAGCTGGCTGCAGTTGGCCTCCGTAGTATTACTGGAGTTATATATTGGGTAAATTAAATTAATATTGTGGAACCAATAGACCTATCACGAAACCCCACAAGATGGCCAATTTTACCGCACTTCCGATGTTTTGAACACCCGTTGTTTCGCAAGATTTCTAATGTAGAATTCACAAAAACGTGAATTACTGAAACTATATACTAAGTTTCAAATAAAGCAACTTCTATTGTAGTATCTCTGTAACAGAAATTTTTTAAAACGCACTTTTTTCAAAACCGGAAGTGCGGTAAAAACCTGTGAATTCCAGCCGGAACCGGAACTGGGGAAAAAATCCGACCGGAAGCGGAAGTGAATTTATTTAACAGTTTATGATTATAGCACGGATTCTAGCCCGTTACCATTGAAGAGTTTTATTTCATTGTTTGCAAGGCAAAAAATTGACAATTTTTGTGAATTACTGCAACTATATACCAAGTTTCAAATAAAACAACTTCTATAGTTGTATCTCTGTCATAGAAATTCTTCAAAACGCACTTTTTTCAAAACCGGAAGTGCGGTAAAAACCTGTGAAGTCCAGCCGGAACCGGAACTGGGGAAAAAATCCAACCGGAAGCGGAAGTGAGTTTATTTAACAGTTTATGATTATAGTAGATTATACCCGTTATCATTGAAAAGTTTTATTTCATTCTGTTTACGGCAAAAAATTGACAACTTTTCCTTGCCAAAGAGCTTGTTCCAAAGCTTGACATATGCCAGCTTTTGGGCAAGGAAAATTTGTTCGTGTGTAACACGGGTGACAAGTGTACAAGAATTACTTCTATGGAGATGAATGTTTCACAACATTTCGTGCACACGAGCAGCAACAAACTTTGTCAAGGACAACTTGTTGACCGTACACACGAGAGGGTAAACTTGTCCAGGAAAACTTACTCGTCTTCGCGGGGCTTAATTATATGTTACTTTGTCCGCTGTCAACCTTCAAACGTTAGAATATATGACATGTTCACTGTATATAAATTAAAATGATGTCAGGTGCAGTATTGTGATCTGTTTAATTTAAATATATTTGGGCGATGTTCATCATTGAATGAACTGTATATTCTTTTTCCTAATGAAGGCAGAGTTCCGGTTTCGGTCGGAACCGGGTTCCCTATACATACACGGCTAAAAACGCACAGGTTGTTGCAAGTTGATTTCGACAGGCGTGAACAATGTTGTGCGGCCAACTATGAACAAGTTGTCAACCATGTTGTTCCAAGTTGTTACAGTTGAACAATGCTGTAACAACATGTTGACAATACTGTTCATAGTGGGCCGCACAACCTTGTTCGCGCCTGTCGATATCAACTTGGAAAAAGTTAATTTAGTTTATTGTACGGTCTTGGGACAAGTTGTTGATTTTCTCAATTTTTACGCGTGTAGGAAAAGACATTTGCAACTCTTTTACTGCAAGACTGATCAAACCCAGTCCCAATTAATTAAAAATGAAACTGATCTCATAATAGACGGGATAGACCCTACCTTCGCTATCAAGGAGCTCTGCCTGTATGTAAATGCTACAGACAAGAAAATTCATGAAAACCTCATCTCAAAGTAATCTACTGTAATCGAATTTGTGACATCACCAATCTAAAGTTTACGAAGGAAAAAGACATCAGTTCACTTCAAGGAACATACTACATCGTTCTGGAACAGCTTATAATTTAAGAGCTGTTCTTAAAATGTACATAAATGATTTGCATAAAATAACAAGTACTTGACTGGAGGCGGCCATTTTAATTTTTTAATCCGACTTGATGATTTTCGTCTTTTCTGGAAAAGCTACTACGGGTAATATCCCATGAATAATTGATCAGTGCCAGAACCTTCTGTGCTCTTTTGAATTGCTTTGTACACTTGCTGTTCTTTGAATTTTCTTATAACGTGGAGATTAAATATAAGGGTTTGACACAGTGACTCAATATTGAGTAAAATTATTTTACATTTATGAGCAAATTTACTCGATGTCTTGAGTGAAAATTTACTTCAGCCAGAGTAAGATTTAGGTCACTCAGGCTAAGGTTAGAGCCCAATCTGAGCCTCCAAGTAGTGGGGCCAAATACTCGACGCCCGTATAATGTCTGTGGGTTTCGTGTGTACAGTCACGCGAGTGTAACGGCTGTACACAGGCTATCACGTGACCGCTACAGACAGATTGCTTCAAAACAAAACAAATATGGCGGCCGCGATGGATGAAATATTTCGAAAATATCGTTGTATCTTTCTCTTGAAATGGACTAATGGAAAAGAGTTCATCCTAACAAAAGTAAACAAAATTTGCATGGCTTCGCAGGCACACACGACTTGCAGGCAAAGCGGCCACAATGGAAAACGACCTCAACCCTATCTTCTGTTATTAGACTTTTAATAATATTAATACGAGTGGAATTACCACAGAGTACTTACATACAGAGGTCCCACTTCAGGTTGATTTAGTGCAAGGGTTTTCTCCATTGAAATTAATATGGAACGCTACATTCAGATAAACTGCAATAAATCTTTTTCTTGAAGCCAAAATCTGACCCCCAGACACTCGTGTTTATATCATGATTGACAGATTAAGCGCATCCTCGTTCCCAGGGCTTCTCGGCTGCCTCCGTTGCCGTAAGGCAGCCGAGCAGCCCTGGGAACGAGGATGGATTAAGCGCTCTTCGCATTCTCGTACCCAGAGCCCCTCTTACGCGCGGTGCGACGAGGGGCTCTGGCCAAATCCATAACCGGATACCATAGAAACATGGTAAGAAAACAATATCCGGTGTTAGAACTAGCCAATCAGATGCCAGTTCGGAATATGGATTTGGCCAGAGCCCCTCGTCGCACCGCGCGTAAGAAGGGC